TGTTCATTATCGCATTTCTGTGATTTAGATTTGTTGTTCAATGGAAACAGCGAACACAAGCAATGGGCTACTACGATGAAAGTCAATGGATCACTGCTTCGGTACATATTTTGATTCACCTCTTTCTCCTCATTTGGAAAAAAATTTTTTTCCTGAAAATATTGATTTCTAGGTCGAATCCGATACTTTACTAAAAATCAAAGGACTTATTCCTGGTGTGCAATATCGTTTCAAAGTCACAGCCGTAGGACCAAGTGGTCGTCTCGGCGAGGCGGTGGATAGTACATGGACGGAGATTTCAAGTACTGGCGCGTCTAGGACACCAAGTAGGGGTTTTGCATTCGAAGAATTCTCAACCGCTTTTAATGTGACCTTAGCCGAAGAGGATGAGCCATGCCTCTTACCTACTCTGTAGTGGGCTCTTTTGCAAAACAACGCAAATTCAACAAAATATTAAGCCACAAAAAAAAAAGAATTTCAGCTTCCTCCATAACCATAAGGAATGGCTACAACTCTGATCGAGGCGTAACGGCTCACGTGGAGTGGTCCCGTACACCCCAAGATTCATGCTACTATAAACTTCAATTGAGCAATAGCACTTTAACAACCAACAACGATATCACCCTGGTATGTGCAGCCTTTTTCCAAATGTTTAGTAAATCTAATAGAATCAGTGAATCTTAGGATGCTTCCTCATCGATACTTCTACCTCACCTCGAGTTCGATTGCGATTATACAGTAACTATTGCTGCTACTACCAGTGATAGAAGTCAGACAAGTGGATCAGTTACAAGCAGTTTTAGGTCACTTCAGTGCAAAGATGTGCATGGGCGAGGGAGCCTATTGTGCTGTGAGTACATTATATAAATTACTTACTCATGTTTCTAATCTATCTATCGTTAAATTTGATTATCTGCTCAACCATACCTAAACCTTGCCTAACCTTCATCTTGACTATAAATCTTTCATTCAGTGTCTATTGGAAGGGTCATTTCTTTAAATTTTAGTGCCCGAGCCAGTGACGGATCTTTCGATCTACGTATATGCCAATGGGACAGGCTTTATCTCCTGGAATCCATCCGCTGATCCAGAAAATATTCTCTTCTACCAACTTATTTTCAATGCTCTTTCCCAGGACAATGGCTGCCAATTCCAACAAGAAACCATAAATATTCAAGCTGTAAGTATAATTCCCATTTTTAGGCTCTAGTCCCTTCAAAAGTCGAATTTTTGCTGAAATTTTTAGAGTGCAAGCTCAGCTTTCGTGGATTTCCCTGGTCATAGATGTGAGTACGTCATTCGTCTGGTTAACTATGACCTCATCGGTAGAGATGCAGTAGCCGAAACTCGAGTAGTTATCGAACCTGCTAGAATTCCTCTAACCTTGGAAGATATGCTCCGTCCAGAAATTCTCCTAACAGCTGCATGTTTTCTGCTTTTCTTTATCCTTTGTATTTTAATTCGTTGCAAAATTGGGCGAAAATGTCCTCATCGAGTGTCAGAAAAACAACAAAAACTAAGGGAGTATGCGTAAGCAA